ACTTTCAGCTATAAAAAATATATAGTAAACTCAAAGTTAGTTATAAATTTAGGCCAAAATGTATTCTGCTCCATGTTTTTGGTAAAATAATCCCAATAAGTGTATATTGATTGCTTTGTGTGGAAGTTATAGCGTCTACAAACTATGGTATAAATACTGCAATTTACGCCATTTTTCTGCTATACAGCGCTGCGCTAGTTTAACGGACAATTGCGCGGTCATGCAATACGGTACATAAATGAAATTTATGTCCTTTTTTTCCCCACAAATTGAGCTTTCTTTCGGTGGTATTTGATCACCTGTGCGGTTTTTATTTTTTTTTGCGCTATAAAAAAAAAAGGCTGACAATTTTGAGGAAAAAAAAAAACAATATTTTGGACTTTTTGCTATAAAACATGTCCAGTAAAAAAAAAAAATGCAAAAATCTAATTTAGTCATAAATTTCTGCCAAAATGCATTCTGCGACATGTCTTTGCTAAAAAAAACCCCAATACGTGTAAATTAATTGGTTTACGTGAAAGTTATAGCGTTTACAAATGGCGGGAAAGATACTGGGATTTTAAATTTTTTTATTGGCACCGATACTAATAATGGCGCCGATCAGCGACATATGGCGGCGACCAGCGACTTATGGTGGGACTGCGGGACTGCGGCGGACATTTTGACACTGGGGGGAGCTGACTTGGGGTCACTGGCATCCCCAGTGACACCAATACAGTGATCAGTGAAAAAAAAACCACTGAAACTGTACTAATGTCACTGGGGAGGAAGGGGTTAACATTTTAGAATTTGCTGTGTAAGGGGAGTGTTTTACTAGGGGGCGGGGGTGTGTACTGGATGAGGGGGAGGGAGGGGGGAGCTGATCAAGGGAGAGAAAATCTTCTCTCCCTCTGCAGCTTGGCGGCGAACTGTCACAGAGCAGGGCTGTGTGTAAACAATGCAGCCCTGCTCTGTGTCAGTGTTTACCGCTGATCGCGGGAAAACGGCCGGTAAAAACCGTCCGTGACCCGGCGGCGGAGACCCGCTGCTGACACCCGCGGGACAGGTAGGGCGGGCGCGCGCCTCGACCTCTACCTGTTTTGTAGGCAGACGTTTTAAAACATGCTTTTGCCTACGAGCACTGCCCTGCCACCGTTTATATGCGGTGGCTGGGCGGCATGTGGTTAACCTCTTGCCCTCCTGAGGATTTACCCCCCTTCCTGACCAGGCCATTTTTTGCATTACAGCGCTGCGTTACTTTAACTGACAATTGCATGGTCATGCAATGCTGCACCCAAATGAAATTTACGCCCTTTTTTTTCCATGAATAGAGCTTTCTTTTGGCAGTATTTGATCACCTGTGCGTTTTTAATTTTTTGCGCTATAAAAAAAAAAAGGCTGACAATTTTGTGAAAAACATTATATTTTTGAATTTTTGCTATTAAACATGTCCAGTAAAAAAATTGTAAAAAATCTAATTTCATCTTAAATTTAGGCCAAAACGTATTCTGCTACATGTCTTTGCTAAAAAAAAAAACCAAATATGTGTAAATTAATTGGTTTACATGAAAGTTATAGTGTTTACAAATGGCGTTATATATACTTGGATTTTATTTTTAATTTTTATTAGTAGTGGCGGCGGCGATCAGCGACTTATAGCAGGACTGCGGCAGGCATTCTGACACTGTGGGGAACCTAACTGCCACTGACATCCCCTGTGACACCAATACAGTGATCAGTGCCGTCAGGATGCTGGGTGTGTTTATTGTGGGGCTGTGTGTGTGTTTCACTGTAAGCACACTGCTTTGTATGGCTCTGCTACGCACAGCCTTGCAAAGCAGTGTGCAGAAGCTGACAGGGGAGAGATCTGTTTCGTTTACAAACAGTTTCCCCCTCCCAGGGGCGGACTGACCATTTGGAAACTTGGGCACTGCCCGAGGGCCCGGGGTCAGTAGGGGGCCTCATGAGTTGCCCCTGGTACCTTTTTCATAGGCTTTTTTGACTTTGGGCAAGGACACAGGGGCCCCATGATCCCCTATTGCCCGGGGGCCCCATGAGTTGTCAGTCCGCCCCTGCTCCCCCCCCCCCTCCATTGGAGATGCTTGGCAATCACCGGGCAACGGTGAGTAATCACCTGCCGGGATTTGGTGATTGACAGCCGTGGCTGCGAATGGCGGAGCGGGTAGGGAGCACGCTCGCCACCTACTCGTAAATGCTACATCATGTATGTATACGTGGTTTTGCACACCCATGTCGCCCTGTAGCAGTACTGCTATAGGGCGGACGGGAAGTGGTTAATTATCACACATAAGGGGAGGTTTACTAAAACTGGAGCACTCAGAATCTGATGCATCTGTGCATGGTAGCCAATCAGCTTCTGACTTCAGCTTCTTCAATTACACTAGGTTCACATCTGTGCAGGTGGTGCTGCTGCGGGTCCACACGAAAATCCATGCAGCCGCACCACCTGCACAGAGAAATGCGGACCCTCGGGCAGGTGCCATTAGTTCTAATGGCACTCCGCCCGCACTGGAAAACGCAACCATACTGGGGACCAAGGTTCCTGTGTGGGCTGCATTTTAAAGAAGTGCAGGGACTTCTTCCCTGCATGTCACGGGCACGGGAGTACATTCAAATGATTGGGCTCTGTGCCCATGCAAAACGCGGCCCGCACGGCCACATAGATGTGAACCGGGGGTTAAGCTTTGACAGTCCTCATGCACATGGGGCGTTTTTACAGCGGCTGTTTTGGCTTTTGATGTTTTTTCTACAGCTAGTAAACCCCCCAGCATGTTATCCTATGTGTCCATGCACACAGACTGTAATCAACGTTTTTTGGCAGCGATGTTTTTTGGCTGGAAAAAAAACCCAGAACTAGTGGGATTCTAGAGGAGTTTTTTAGCTTTAAAAACGCTCTAACGCTGAAAAACGTGTCAAAGCATGGTAAAACGCAGTAAATTGTGGCAAACCACCATTTTTGGACTTTTTTTTACCCAAAATTGCATTTTAACCAAAAATGCAAAAACGCCACTAAACGCTAATACAAAAACACTAAAAAATGCTGAAAAACTCACGTTTTTAATGTGACTTTACACAGCTGTTACTGAAACACTCAGTGTACATGAAGCTTCAAACCTGAAAGCTGATTGGTTTCTATTCACAGCTGTCTGGACAGTGCTGTTTGGTCCTATGCTGATCACATGCATCCTCCCAAGAAAAAAAAACCTCTCTAGCAATACACACCAAACTGAGCATGAGCATATGACTATGGATTCAGTCTGTATCAGGTGGTCATTTGAACAAGAGGAGGGGCAGAGAAGAAAGGATCAAATAGCCTTTTTACACAATGCATAGGTTAACCCCTTAGGTTCCACAGTGAGTATAACAATCATGATTTACTGCATATACAGACGGGGTTTAGTAACACTTGCCTCACACAAGAGATTTTTCTGCCGATCTTTTTTTTTTTCTTTAGACTCCATGCACACTAGTGGTTTTTTAAGCTCCTAGAGGCTGTTATCAGAAAAAAACATGCTGAACTGTACTGGAACGTGGTAAAATGCATCAAAAACGTACCAGAACGCTCCGGAACGTGTCAAAAACGCACCAAAAACATGTCACAAACATGCATGCAAAAACACATCCGGAACACATCTGGACTGCGATTCTTTAGTTTGAACCCACCCTCAGGATACTGTTTTGCTCAGGGCCAGTTCACACTACAAAGATGCACTCCAGATACATTTTTGCTTACAGTTCTACAGCTAGTAAACCCCCCAGCATGTTATCCTATGTGTCCATGCACACAGACTGTAATCAACATTTTTTGGCAGCGATGTTTTTTGGCTGGAAAAAACCCCCCAGAAACTATTGGGATTCTAGAGGAGTTTTTTAGCTTTAAAAATGCTCTAACGCTGAAAAACGTGTCAAAACGCAGTAAATTGTGGCAAACCACCATTTGTGGACTTTTTTTTACCAAAAATTTTTTTTTTGCTAAAAAAAACCTCTAAAAACCGCAAATGCGAAAAACAATGCAAAAACGCCACTAAACGCTAATGCAAAAACGCTAAAAAATGCTGAAAAACTCAAGTTTTTATTGACTTTACACAGCTGTTATTGAAACACTCAGTGTACATGGAGCCTCAAACCTGAAAGCTGATTTTAGTAAGATTTTGCACACTCCAGTTTTAGTAAATCTCCCCCATAATGTCTGCAGAACACCATCCTGAACATCTTTCCCTCCTTCCAGTAACCTGAACTCACCCCTCCAATCTCTCTGGACACTGGCATGCTCCCATGTTATTTTAAACATTAGCTAATCCAGGCAACCCTTTCCAGACCACCCAACGAAAAAAAAAATGAACGCCAGACATTCGTAATTCAACAGGTAATATCATTCCACTCAGGATCAAAGCTGCAGCTGATCTTGTGACCTACAAAGCCAATAGCTCAAGCTAGGATTAATACTGGCCCATCCGCTGTACTGTGCGTGCCGCACACCCATAGCAATATATGGTACAGAGATGGCGTCTGGCTGGTGAACGGGAACACAGAGGTTAATGTTCTTGCAGAGCAGGCGGTGAAAAGAGATTCCAGTATGCCTTGGCCATTCATCACTAATGGTCTAGTGTCAACACACACACAGGCATTAATGGGAGTACAGAGCACTAAATCCTGTACATGTCAGTTTGGTTACATTTTCTCAGTAATCTGTGTTTATTTTATGAATATTGTTCACACTCCAGCCCCGAGCAGTGCTGAAAGATCCACCTGGGAAGATCAGTCAATTTGTTGAAAACTGCCCTGAGCTGTTTTGATATCGGCCACCTCTTGTCGGAACACAAGCTGTTGGCTAATTTTTTCATCAATAATTATAATTAATAATAATTTTGATGGGCAACCAGTTCAAAAACATTTCATAAGTGGTTTGTATATATTTTTTAAATAGATTTGCTTCATATCCAAATAATACTGCAATACTAAAGCAAACTAGAATCAGAATGATTAAATTGTTACTAAACCCCGGACCCTGCATTCACGATGTCTGGTCTCCCTGCATTCACTATATCTGGTCTCCCTGCATTCACTATATCTGGTCTCCCTGCATTCACTATATCTGGTCTCCCCCGGACCCTGCATTCACTATATATGGTCTCCCCGGACCCTGCATTCACTATATATGGTCTCCCCGGACCCTGCATTCACTATATCTGGTCTCCCCGGACCCTGCATTCACTATATCTGGTCTCCCCGGACCCTGCATTCACTATATCTGGTCTCCCCGGACCCTGCATTCACTATATCTGGTCTCCCAGGACCCTGCATTCACGATGTCTGGTCTCCCCGGACCCTGCATTCACTATATCTGGTCTCCCTGCATTCACTATATCTGGTCACCCCGGACCCTGCATTCACTATATCTGGTCTCCCCCCTGCATTCACTATATCTGGTCACCCCCGGACCCTGCGTTCACTATATCTGGTCTCCCAGGACCCTGCATTCACTATATCTGGTCTCCCCGGACCCTGCATTCACTATATCTGGTCTCCCAGGACCCTGCATTCACTGTATCTGGTCACCCCGGACCCTGCATTCACTGTATCTGGTCACCCCGGACCCTGCATTCACTGTATCTGGTCACCCCGGACCCTGCATTCACTATATCTGGTCTCCCCGGACCCTGCATTCACTATATCCGGTCTCTCAGGACCCTGCTTCACTATATCCAGTCTCTCCAGGACCCTGCATTCACTATATCCGGTCTCTCAGGACCCTGCATTCACTTTATCTGGTCTCCCAGGACCCTGCATTCACTATATCTGGTCTCCCCGGACCCTGCATTCACTGTATCTGGTCTCCCAGGACCCTGCATTCACTGTATCTGGTCTCCCAGGACCCTGCATTCACTATATCTGGTCTCCCCGGACCCTGCATTCACTATATCTGGTCTCCCAGGACCCTGCATTCACTATATCTGGTCACCCCGGACCCTGCATTCACTATATCTGGTCTCCCCGGACCCTGCATTCACTATATCTGGTCTCCCCGGACTTTGCATTCACTATATCTGGTCTCCCAGGACCCTGCATTCACTATATCTGGTCTCCCCGGACCCTGCATTCACTATATCTGGTCTCCCCAGACTTTGCATTCACTATATCTGGTCTCCCAGGACTCTGCATTCACCATACCTTCTCTCCCACGGTACACACAACATGGAAATGCAATTATTTTAGTAAATATAAACGGCTAAATACCTTTTCTCATCAGCATTTGGAGCAGTCTTGTGACTTCTATCAGTGTTCAGCAGAGCACTGGTTAAAGCTTGTAGGAGGAGTTTTCTTTCTGCTCTAGGAGGATGCAGAACCCCTGACATCTGTCTGGACAGTGCTGTTTGGCCCTATGCTGATCACATGCATCCTCCCAAGAAAAAAAAAACCTCTCTAGCAATACACACCAAACTGAGCATTCAGTCTGTATCAGGTGGTCATTTGAACAAGAGGAGGGGCAGAGAAGACAGGATCAAAAGGCCTTTTTACGCAAATGCAGAGGATTAACCCCTTAGGTTCCATAGTGAGTATAACAATCATGACTTACTGCATATACAGACGGGGTTTAGTAACACTTGCCTCACACAAGAGATTTTTCTCCTGATCTTTTTTTTTTTTCTTTAGACTCCATGCACACTAGTGGTTTTTTTTTAAGCTCCTAGAGGCTGTTATCAGAAAAAAACATGCTGAACTGTACTGGAACGTGGTAAAATGCATCAAAAACGTACCAGAACGCTCCGGAACGTGTCAAAAACGCACCAAAAACATGTCACAAACATGCATGCAAAAAGGCATCCGGAACACATCTGGACTTCGTTTCTTTAGTTTGGACCCGCCCTCAGGATACTGTTTTGCTCAGGGCCAGTTCACACTACAAAGATGCACTCCAGATACATTTTTGCTTACAGTTCACGCTATGCGCAGTTCCGGTGCAGTTTTGATGCAGTTTGCCATGTTCCAGTACAGTTCTGTGCAGAAAAAATGCAGCATGGTCTACTTTTTTTTTTTCTGCTCCGGAAACTGACTGGAACTGACTGCCCTGGTGTGAACTAGGGCCATTGGAATACATGGAAAATACTGTGCATGCATTTTTGATGCAGAAAAAAAGCGCACTGAACTTCATCTAGTGTGAACTAGCCCTTAGAGAAACGCAGTCCAGATGCGTTCCGGATGTGTTTTTTGCATGTGCTTTTTTATGCGTTTTTTTTGCCCGTTCTGGTGCATTTGTTGTGTGTTTTTGACGCGTTCCAGTGCATTTTTTATTCCAGTTAATTTTTTCCCCTCTCCTTTTCTTCAATTTGAATAGGGACATGTGCGTTCCAGTGAGTTTTTGATGCTTTTTACTGCATTCCAGTACAGTTCTGTACAGAAAAAATGCAGCCTGTTCTACTTTTTTTTCTGCATCCGGAACGCACTGGAACTGCAAGCACTGATGTGAACTATGACATTGACAACCATATCACCTACTTTCTGTGCATTTTGGATGCAGTAAAAAAGCAACTGAAACGCATGCAGTGTGAACCGGCCCTTAAAGTATAACTACAGTAAAGGCAACATTTTTTAGATTTTGGACAGAGTGGAGAGGTCCTAGAATGCTTGTCAGCTGTCATTGCTGTCTGTGTCCCCATTAGGAAGATTCACTCTCTCTATTTGTCCTGTCTACCATTATCATTGAAAGTGAATGTAAAGAAAGCCCCACGTTTTGGGTTGTCCCCAGAAAAGTAATAGATTGGAAAGTTTTCAATGGGGACACTAGTTCTGGGGACCCCCTAATTTAGAGGGATTTCCTCTCACTTCCTGTTGGGCTATGGGACAGGAAGTGAAGGGGACACAGATGGCAAAAAAATGACAGAAGATATAACTTTCCCTTAAGCAGGCCATACATGGGTTGAATTCAGAACGATTTTTTGATCGAAAATTGAAAACATTGTTCGTTCTGTAATCTGATGGTGCCACCAATGATTTTGAAAATCGTTAGTTTTTCACGAATTTTCCAACATGCCCAATAAATGAAATGGGGAGAAACCACGAAAATCGTCCGGTGCCATTGCCCTACTAAAAGAGCGAAAATTGGCCGACTATTCTTAGGTCTGATTTTTGAACGAAAAGTCTTTCAAAAATCGATCCATGTATGGCCAACCTTACTCTCAGGGCCGGTGCTACTACTACTAGGGAACTAGGCAGCTGCCTAGAATTCAGCCACAGCTGCTGGTTTCCCTACTCTCTGCCATGACCAGATCAAGGGGGGTGCTGGGGTGGGCTCTTTTAGTTGTGCCCCCCCCTGTCCATGGACATTGTGCCTGGCCGCTGAGTGCCTTCCCCCGCACTCACGGCTGGGACAAGAGGAGAGAAGCCTGGAGCCTTGAAGCCTGCAAAGGAAAAATGGCAGGAGAGAGCTGACACAGGATCTCTCTTATATCGGCATGGGCAGTGATTGATTCTTTTCCTGGATCCTTGCTGCTGAGGGATGATTGGTCATTAGAGGAGATAGGGGGTGGGGTAATCAAACTGTGTCTGCCCCGATTTGTGCAGGAAGGGGAATAGGGGCTATTTGTGCTGGGAAGGGTAATGGGGATGACTGGGGGGGGGAGATTTGTTCCAGGAGAAGGGATTTGTGTCAGGAGTAGAAGGGAGGTTAGGGGGATTTGTACTAAAGGGGGGGGGGAGATTTGTAAGGTGGGAGAATTTTATGCTAGGAAGGGTGATTTGGGGGGGTTTTAGCTAGAAGAGGGATTTAGGAGAATTTGCCCTAGGTGGGGGGATTGAAGGAAGAGGATTGGTGCTGGGAGGGGGGCTTAGGGGGGATTTGTGCTAGGAGGGGGATTGGGGGGGGAATTGTGCTAGGATTGGGATTGGAGGGGATTTGTGCTAGTAGAGGGGCTTGGGGGGGGTATTTGTGTTAAGTGGGGGGATTTTATGCTGGGAAGGGTAATTTGGAGGGGTTTTAGGTAGAGGAGGGATTTGGGGGAATTTGTCTTAGGTGGGGGGAATTGAAGAAAGAGGATTGGTGCTGTGAGGGGGGATTGGGGGGGGGGGGGGGGGGAGCGGGTTGTGTAAGGAGAGGGAATTGGGGGGGTAAATTTGTGCTAGGAGGGGGAATTTGGGGGGGAGAGTTGTCCTAGAAGGGAAATTTCCAGGGGGATTTTTACTAGGAGGAGGGATTAGGGGTAAAATTGTGCTGGGGGGGGGGGGGGGGGGGGGTTGGGAGGTGTTGTGCAAGGAGAGGGGATTTTGGGGGGGATTTGTGCTAGAAGGGGTTGTGCTTTGGGGGGGGGGGGGTGTTTGTGCTGGGGGGCGATTGGGGGTAAAATTGTGATGGGGGTTGTGAGGTGTTGTGCTAGGAGAGGGGATTGGGGGGTTATCCTAGAAGGGAGGATTGGTGGGATTTGTGCTAGGAGGGGGATTGATAGGGGTTGTGCTATGACGGAAGGGTTTGTGCTGGGGGGAGATTGGGGGTAAAAATTGCTGCTGGGGGGGGGGTTGGGAGGGGTTGTGCTAGGAGAGGGGATTGGGGGGGTTGTTGTCCTAGAAGGGAGGATTGGGGGGAGGGGGGCATTTGTGCTAGGAGGGGGGATTGGGAGGGGTTGTGATATGAGGAGGGATTTGTGCTAGGAGGGGGGATTGGGAGGGGTTGTGCTATGAGGGGGGGTTTGTACTAGGAGGGGGGATTGGGGGTAAAATTGTGCTGTGGGGTTGTGCTAGGAGAGGGGATTGTGGGGTTGGTTTGTCCTAGAAGGGAGGATTGGGGGGGTTTGTGCTATGAGGGGGGATTTGTGCTAGGAGGGGGGATTTAAAATATATTTCTTCAGATTTTTTTTCAACAGATAAAAAAGTAATTTTAACATATATTTTTACATATATTTGTAAAGGCATTCCAAAAATGTAGATTTGTATTTTTAAAGACATACAGTATATTTGAAATGTATTTTTAAAAATATTTTTCATATATTTTGTAATAAAAACGCATTTCAACATGCAGTATATATATATTTTGAAATATATTGAATATTGCCAAAATTGTAATAATTCAAATATATGGCAATATATTTGGGAAGAATATTTTTAAAATATATTTCAGATATATTTTTCTTCCATGTGGAGTTCCCTTTTTTAAAAATAAACTTTATGTGGCGTGTACAAAACGTACACTTCATTCACTGCATGCTGCAGCACACCACAGAGCTATGTTGCAATGCAGTGTGAACGGGGCACAGGGGTAACAATTGTTTCCTGTGTGTCTTGCGTCTGACAGACGGTTTACACTGCAGTAATACGTCTGTCACCGCAAATAGTGCGAATCAGCCCTTTGGGTGCTTTCATACTGATCCGTTGCAAAAATGTGTTAAAAAACGCATATGAGTTTGTGATGCAT